AGCTTATCCATCGGGATGCTTCCCATGTTGTCACCCAAGAGATTGAGGTACTGAAGCGTGTAACGGAAACCATTAAATGCCTCCGTCGGATCTAGAGACATCTTGTTGTTGCTGAGGGAGAGGGAGCGGAGGGCGTCGAGCTTATCAAAAGCCTTTTCAGGGATGGACGACAGGTTGTTGTAGCTGAGTTCGAGCAACTGCAAGGTGGACTCGAGTCCTCCGAAAGCCTTCTCCGATATGCTCCAAAGGTCGCAGTCGTGAAGGTAGAGCTCTTTGATCTTGGCGTCCTTAAAGGCATCCTCCGAGATGTGGGTGAGGGGGTTTCCTCTCAGGGAAGTGCGATTGATGTTGCCGAAGTTCTGGAAGGAGTAAGGCTGGAGTGATTCGATCTGATTGAAGTCGAGGACAAGGGTGTCCATGGAGAGGGAGCCCGTGTAGAGGACCTCGTACGTCTGCGTTATCATGTTTCTAGCGAGGTTCAGAGTCTGGATGTTGCGGACCTCGGACATGGCCTCGAAGGGGATGGTCGTGAGCAGGTTGTTGGCCAGGTTGATGTGGGCCAGGTGGCTGGACGAGCCCTGGAAGGAGAAGGAAAAACGTGTCCATCACACGTGGAATCTTCCTCTGTCAGGTAAAGCCACTAAGCTGTCTCAGCGTGAAGAACATTGGGTTCTCTTGCAACACGAACGGGGATAAGTAATATTTGCAATATAAAAGCTAGTATAATTCACTCTACATTCTATTCATCCATTCATTCATGTTAATTTACAGTAGAACAGGATATATGGATAATTCACAAATTTCAAAAAATGAGCCACATGCACCAAGAGAAGTTTAAATTCTAAATGAGTTTTGGCAGTCTTATTGGATCCTAGATATTTCACCTTTCCTTCCCTCAACCTTCTCCTCAACCCCGCGTTTCCCCCTCCTCTCACCTTCGGCCCCACCCTTCCCATCCCAACCTTCCTTCACCCACATTCCCCATCCTCCTTTTCCCTACCTTCTCCCCCTTCCCATCCCTCCTACTCCCACCCTCACCCCCTCCCTTCCCTCCCCTCCACCCCTCCTCACCTGGAACGCCCTGGGGTTGATGGTCATAATATTATTTCCCCTGAGGTTGAGCGTCTTCAGGTTCTCCAGCGTCCTGAAGATTCCCTCCGGCAGGATCGTGAGGGAGTTTTCGGCCAACACGAGCGTCTGCAGGGACCTCTCGTACCCGTCGAAGTCCTCGGTGGTCAGGTCGGAGATGTAGTTGCCTGGACGTGAGGAAAAGGCCACGTTAGGAAAAATAATGGACTGATATTGATTATTGTGGTGTTAGATTTTACAGTTTGTTATGATTGTAAAGATAATCATAAAGAGAATTATGGTGGGAATGAGGATAACAATACTTATTATGGTAACAATGGTAATAACTGATGATACTGATCATGACAATAATGCTAGTAATGATGATATGGCAACTAATGATATTAATAACAGCAAATATCCATTATTATCGCTTAGATTTTCCAGTTTGTTATGATTGTAAAGGTAATCATAAAGAGAATTATGGTGACATTGATGATAACAATACTTATTATGGTAGTAATGGTAATAACTGATGATACTGATCATGACAATAATGCTAGTAATGATGATAAGACAACTGATAATATCAATAACAGCAAATATCCATTATTAGCACCAGAATTCTAATATGTAGCACACATGCGCATAGACACATCCGTTTCTTTTCATATAATTTCTAAATATTTCCATTAAGTATGAAAGTTACTCTAAATGTTTATCTGTCTGCTCCCCCCCCCCCTCTCTTCTCTCTCTCTCTCTCTCTCTCTCTCTCTCTCTCTCTCTCTCTCTTCTCTCTCTCTTCTCTCTCTCTCTCTCTCTCTCTCTCTCTCTCTCTCTCTCTCTCTCTCTCTCTCTCCTCCTCTAATCTCTTTCCCCCATTAGGAAACGAGGAAGAGAGAAGGAAAGAAGGAAAGCGAAGGAGAAGGAAAAGCTAAAATAGTAAAAGTTATCCAAGCTAACTAGGCCATTAATCGACGATTTGCCAGATCTGGCGAAGGAGAAAGAGGAGGGAAGGAAGATGCTGATAATGAGGAAGACCATTATAAACAGAAAGATAAGAAAGGGAAGATGGAGGAGGAAAAAAGAGAATGAAAAAAGGATAGAAATGCAATTACCAGTAAGGATAGAAGTAAGAATAAGAATATGAATAAAAGTAAGAATAAGAATATAAATAGGGGTAAGAATAGGAATAACGATAAGAACAGGAGTTAGAAAAAGAACAGGAATGATAACAGGAATAAGTATAAGAATTGGGATAAGAATATGAATAAGGATGAACAGATTAAGAATGATAATGAGAGTAGAGATAAAAATAAGAAGGGGTTGAGCGTGAGAATATGAATGATAAGGAAGAAGATGAGAATAAGTAAAGAGAAATGATCGGACAGAAAATGAAGAATAAAACTAGAATTAAAACATGTAATAAAAAGAAATACGCGAAAGAATGAAAAACAACATGAACACGAAAGAAAGAAAGAGAGAAGAGAAAACTTGAAAAAAAAAAATCCAGCAGACAAAAGAAAATGAAAATAAATGGCTAGAAAACGAAAAAGAGAGAGAATGCCAATGACAACAAAAGAGACGCAAGAAAAGAAGAAAAGCAGAAGTTAAATTCAACTTGACAAACCCAAGGCACCATAAGCGTCAGAGTGCGCGCCCATCGGACGTCCGTCACGCCCACAACCATACTTATATCAGGCCCTTACTCGACCCGCTAGATCCCCCATTGACCCCGCTAGACCCCATTGGAACCACCGCTAGACCCCCATTGAACCCCCGCTAGGACCCCCAATGAACCCCACGATCCCCCATAGAAACCCCAATAGATCCCCATTTAAACCCCACTAGACCCCTATTGAACCGTCACTAGACCTCCATTGAACTAGACCCCCTAATCGAACCTTCACTAGACCCCCATTAAACCCCACTAGACCCCACCATTGAACCCCGCTAGACCCCCCCATTGAACCCCCGCTAGACCCCCCCCATTGAACCCCGCTAGACCCGCATTGAACCCCCAGACCCCATTGAACCCCCGCTATTGAACCGTCCACTAGACTCCCTCAATTAGACCCTGAACTAACCGCTAGACCCCAATTGAACCCCCTAGACTCCTTTGAACCGTCACTAGACCTCCATTGAACCCCCGCTAGACCCCCCACTGAACCCCCTCTAGACCCCCATTAAACCCCCACTACCTCCCCCCAACCCCCATTGAACCATGCTAGACCCCATTGAACCCCCTCTAGACCCCATTGAACCCCCACCGGCCCCCCCCACCAACGACCCCCACCAGGCCCTTACCAGACCCCCGGGCCGCCCTCCCCGATGCTTCCCGAACCCCGAGTCTCCTTCGCCTTGCCCATCCGGCGCCGCGGCTGCTAATAAACCCCGCGCGTAAGATTAATTAGGAACTTTTTTCTCTGCTAGATGGGAAAGTTTTCGCCGCTGTTGTACCTGGCGCAATTATGAGCTAACGTGACTGACTGACTCGAATGTATGTAGGGTGGTCGGCGCTCTCTCTCTCTTTCTTTCATTCACTCGGGATTTCTGTCTGTTTGTCTGTCTCTGTCTCTGTCTCTCTCTTTCTCTCTTTTCCCTTTCTCTCTCTCTTCTCTTTCTTTCTCTCTATCTCTCTCTCTCTATATATGTATATATATATATATATATATATATATATATATATATATATATATATATATATATATATATATATATATATATATATATTATATATACATACATATATATACATATATATATATATAATATATATATATATATATATATACTATATATATATATATATATATATATATATATAGGGAGACTCTCCTCATTGGTTAATGACTCTACAAACAATTGGTAACAAAACAGGCATACATACCAGACAGATTAACTCTCTAAACGCCAAGAGATCGTACACAAAAATAGGGCCAAGATAAATGCAAATCTGTGGACCCAAAATCTAGAAGAGACTACCACAAAATCTTACAAATATCAGCCTGATTACTTTCAAAAGGAAATTAAAGGAGCATCTTTCAAATTATAAGTGACATCGGGCATCTAATTGTAAAATCAAACCATGTAAATCTGTTTAATAATGTGACCATCTTATTCTGTATCTTGCTCTCCTACTAATACATTTGATATTGTTTCTATTATTCTGTATTCGCTGTTACCATCTATGTAAAAAGAAGAACCATTCTATTTAGTGGGATAAAGTATTTTGACTTTGACTTTCTCTCTCTCTCTCTCTCTCCTTCCCCACCCTTCTCTCTGTCTATCTTTCTCACTTGTTTTCTTTGTCTTTGGCTCTCTTTCTCTCACTTGAAATCTCCCCCTTTCTTCCTTTCTCTCTTTTATTTCTTTTCTATCTAGTTAGTGTTGTCTGTAAGGGTATGTAGAAATGAGGATGTTTATACTTGAGTTAATTCGGTAATAAAGCAGACTTATACACACACAAAGAGACATAAATAGTCAATGTTTATCCAAATTTAGAACGCCATAGTACACTCACTGCGGCAAAAAGGAGAGGACATTCCAACGTACATAATATATTATGTAATATATCAGCTTACTGGGATGAGGCTCCGGTATGGGGACGACGAGCGTAAAGATGAAACGCTTCGACATATTGGAAACTATTAATTAAATTTCCGAATCGAAATTATATATTCAATCACACTCACGATGTAATGCAAATACGACAGAGAAATGTGATGTTTTAGAGATTTTATTACACGATATGAATGATTTATCTGGAATCTAATACGTCTATAATTCAAAGATATGATAGGTACGTTGCCCCCCAAGCCCTCTGTGATTAGCATAGATCACATGCAAATGCGGGGTTTATATCACGCGAATGATAACAGATGGAGTCTCTATGAATTATGACCGATGTACTCTTGCGGAATCCAGAGAAGTACATCACAAGATGCCGGAGATACAAGGATTGTATATCACCTGAGCGTTTTAAAGGGTGTGCATAACTTACGGGCCATTACGTAGAGAGGGAGAGAGAGGGAGAGAGAGAGAGAGAGAGAGAGAGAGAGAGAGAGAGAGAGTGAGAGAGAGAGAGAGAGAGAGAGAGAGAGAGAGAGAGAGAGAGAGAGAGAGAGAGAGAGAGAGAGAGGAGAGAGAGAGAGAGAAGAGAGGAGAGAGAAGAGAGAGAGAGAGGAGAGAGAGAGAGAGAGAGAGAGAGAGAGAGAGAGAGAGAGAGAGAGAGAGAGAGAGAGAGAGAGAGGGAGGGGAAGAGAAGAGAAAAGAGAGAAAGAGAGAGAGAGGTGGGGAAAGAGGGAGAGAGAAAGAGAGAGGGTGGGGAAAAAGAGAGAGAGAGAGAGGAAAGAAAGAGAGAGAAAGGGAAAGAGAGAGAGAGAGAGAAAGAGATAGGTATAAATAGATAAAAGAGATGCAAGATAGAAAAAGAGATCTAACTGAATGAGAATACTTAAAAAACAAGCAGACAAATAGACAAAAAAAGGCACGGAGAGAGAGAGACACAAAAACTCCGAAACCATGCTCTCCCCCTCCCTCCCCTCTCCCACCTTTCCCCCCGTCTTCTCTCTCCCCTCTCCTCCCATCTCTCCTCCTCCTTCTCTCCCCCTTTCTCCCCTTCCTCTCCCCCTCCTTCCCCCTCCCTTCCCCCCCTCCTTCCCTCCCCTTTCCTCCCCCTCTTCCTCCCGCTTCCCCTCCTCTCCCTTCCCCCTCCCGCTTCCCTCTCTCCCCTCCTTTCCCCTCCCTCCTTCTTCCCTCCCCTTTTCCTCCCCTTTGCTCCCCGTTCCCCCTCCTTCTTCCTCCTTCCCCCCTCCTCCCCCCCTTCCCTCTCCCCTCTCCCTCCCTCCTCGGCCTTCCACCTTTATCGAAAAGCACCAAAGAACTAAACCGGGATTCCATCAAAGAGATTCGCAAACCGTCGCGGCCGCTCCGCGAGAC